GTGAGAGAGTGGGGAGATTGACATTGCTCATATTAAACATGTAAAAATATATCACTGAGACATTTCACCAAAGAAGATCTGCAGATGGCAAATAAGCACATGAAAAGATGCTTAACACCATTAATTATCCAGAAAGTTCAAATTAAAACCACAAAAGGTAGCATTGTACACCAATTAGAATAGCTAAAATTAAAAAATAGTGATAACACCAAGTGCTGGTAGGAATGTTGAGAAACTAGATCACCCGTACATTGCTGGTGAAGATGTAAATGATATAGCCACTCTGGAAAACAGTTTAGCAGTTTCTTAAACATGCAATCAGGTACAGTGGCTCATGCATGTCATCCCAGCATTTGAAGAGGCTGAGGCTAGTGGATTGCTTGAGCTCAAAAGTTTGAGACTAGCCTGGGAAACGTGGCAAAATCCCATCTCTATGAAAAATACAAAAATTAGTTATGTGTGGTGGTTTGCACCTGTGATCCTAGCTACTTGGGAGGCTGATGTGGGAGGATTGCTTGAGCCTGAGAGGTGGAGGTTGCAGTGAACTAAGATCACACCACTGCCCTCTAGCCTGGGTGACAGAGTGAGACACTGTCTCAGAAAAAAAAAGAAAAAATGATAGACACTTGAATGAATGGCATTCAAGTGAACATGCCTTTAGATAACTCCAGCTCCCAGATATAAAGCCACCTTCAAACATGCAACAGTTTGGCAGTTTCTTAAGAACAAAAGACACGCAACTACCATATCACCCGGCAATTGCACTCCTGGGCATTCATCCCACATCAACACTGTGTTCACACAAGAACCTGCACATGGGTGTTTATAACAGCTTCATTTGTCATAGTACAAACCTGGAAACAATCCAGTTTTTTAACAGATGAATGGTTACACAATGGCATATCATACATGAAATACCCAGAAATAAAATGAGCAAATTATTGATATACTCAACAACCTGGATAAATCTCTAGAGGAATAAACTGAGTGAAATAAACAATTTAAAAAGCTTACATACTGTGTGATTCCACTTATGTGTCATTGGGGGAAACCGTGAAATGCATATGGGATCTCTTAATACTTTCTTAATAATTGTCAGATCTCTTTCTGGGTATTATTTCAGTTGCATATAAATCTACAATGATCTAAAAATAAAGTTTAATTTTAAAATACACCTCTGAGAATAGTGGGAGTTTGGGTTGGGATCAATTTTAAGCATGTGATACATGGCAGAAGGCCAGACAGTGCAGGCCTCAGGTGTGCCACTTAATCTCTCATCTCCTGCTTCCACACCTGCAAAATGCTGGGGTTGAACCATAAACAGGTTTCAAGACCTCCTCTTTGCTTCTACAATTCCATAACCCTACTGAGCGATACACATTTGTGGAACCTTGGTTTTGGCCTTCTATTTATCAGAGACCCTCTGAAAATCTTTATGGAAACAGCAGTAACTATCTTTCTGGCATTACACCAGAAGAAGTAAATTCGGCCTTCTACCCACCTGAAAACGGCTTTGCATGCTACAGCAAGATTACTGGAATTACAAAAGGAGAAACACCAAGCATTTTCTTTCATGGCTAAAAAGGTCCCCAAATCCACAGTGTTCTCACAATGTCCTCTTCCACAAAAAAGGAGGAACTTCTTCCACACATACACCGTGTGCTCAAGTTAATACTTTCTTAAAAATACTCAGATCTCTTTTTTAGAAACTAGGGGACGAACTGGAGTGTTTTAGGATCTCTGTTTTGCATTCAATATTCAACCATTCATTCATTTATATTGTAAGCCCTGGAGGTGCCCTCAGTTGTGACATATTTCTTTCTTGACATTTTAATATAAATTCTTCAATGTATCCCTTTCCTTATAGGCATATCCTTTCCAGTTGAGCCATACTTATATATGCAAACTTAGTCCTCAAATCTCAATCTTGTGACCCATTGTATTTTCCAAAGATGACTGCAAAATCATTCTCATCCCACATGCTCCTCTTAAAATGCAACTTTGACATTCTTATCATGAAGTGATGGGGACTATGTTTCCTCCCCTTCAATCTGAGCAGAGCTAATAGTACATGTTGGAAGTGACATATGCAACTTCATAGGGTATGGCATAAAAATGCAATGTGCATCCACCTTTTTCTTGGGGATACTCACTATTGGAACCCAGCTGCCATGCTATAAGTAAGCCCAAACTCACCCAATTCACCAAGGTAAGGAGGCTACATGGAGAGGCTACCCATAGATGTTTTGGTTAACCATTCAGCTGAATCTCAAACAGTAAATAACTAGCATCAGTTGATAGATGTTCAAGTGCATGTGCCTTTAGATAACTTCAGCTCCCAGATGTAAAGCCACCTTTAGATTTTGAGTGACAGATAAGATTCTAAACATTGTAAAGACAAGCCATTCTCACTATGCTGTCTAAATTCCTGTCTCACAAAAGTTGGGTGAGGAATTGATCATAATAAAATGGTTATTTTATAACACTAAATTAAGAATACTTTGTTGAGCAGCAATAGATAACTATGATTATACTTGTTAGAATAAACATCCTAACCTAACTCCCCCCTCTCTCTCAATCTTCTGCTGGTGCTCCCCATGGCCCAACCCAACTGGAATCTAGAAAGGAAGGAAACCCAGTCATGTAACCCATGTAAGTCAGCTTTGGGGGGCAGGAAATAGGGTGGAGTGTGGAGCTGGTGAAACTGGCAGATATCCAGTGTAGTTTATACTTTGCCTTATTTCAATGATGATGTAAGGTAGATGGCATGAAAGCTATGATGCCTAAATTTTGATCATTATGGAATAAATAATAATAAACAGCAATCATCTAACCATTCTTTCAGATAAATCTTTAAAATGAAGGATTCTCTATCAGTTGTGGCTCCATCATGAAGAAGAAGCAGAGTTTAATCATTAAGAGCCTAGGTTCTGGAACCAGTCTGCCTGTGTTCAAATCCTGGCTCTGCTACTAACCAGCTGTATAAATTTGGGTGGCTCCCTAAGCCTTTCTGTGCTTAACTTTCCTCATCTGTAAAGAGGAATAAAAATATTGCCATCCCTGTAAGTTGGTTGTGGAGATCAAATGAGTTAATAAAGGTAAAGCACTTAGCATGGCGCTGGTTAAGAGTAAATACTCTGTAAGCATTAGCCATTATTATAACATATAGGAGAAGATTTCAAGGTGTAAAGTGTGGCAAAGAAACAAGATGGAAAGGCAGCAACATGTCTTTCTTTTTGCCTTTATTTTCTTCTGAAAAACACCAATAGTTGCTGCAACGATCTGATGCTTATGAATTCTTTAAAAAGAATGACTTTACCAGGATAGAAAAAAGTTGAAGAGTGACTCAAGTAGGTAAGAAGGAATAAAAGCTATCTTAGTTCATTTTTTTATGAACTAGAGGTGTGATTTTTTTCTTATGAACCAGTGACACATTATTAGAGCTTATTA